AAATTTAATAATAATTTAAGGAAGATAGCAGTTATAAGTAAAAGAAAAGAAGTATCAAAAAATTTTCAAAAAAATATCAACAATGTATTACTATTGGAAGTATAAAAAATCGTAAAATATTAGGGAAGAATTATTTGATGCATGAAATGAAATTATGGATGATGCTAATTAAATTTGATTTAAATGTTACTAGCAGTATTAAAATGGAAATTCTACATCTTCACACTTACATTTTAGATTGTTACTAATAAGCAAATGAATGATTCAAAGTATCAAAGTTAACTTCAAGAAAGAGGAAGAAAATTAGTAAGGATATGTTTTAAATTTACTTAGAAAAACATTTGAAAATAATATTGTTTACACAGCTATGATGGAAGAATTATCGGGAAATTCGAGAATTTCCCAATAGCGTTTTGGTACGTTTCACTCTGATAATGCTTCTTAATCTTATCATTTTAAACTCTAAAAAAGTTTCAAATTTAAAGCTGAACAATTATAATATATTTGAAGGAAAAATAAATAGGCTTATTTGTAAAAAAAAAAAGAAATATCAAATTGAAGAAAAATAGGTTTACAAAAATTAAACATTTTTCACTCATCTACAATCACTATGAATGAAAAATGTTTAAATGCATGAATTATTGTAACTGGAAAGTTAAAATTTTAAGCGTTAGCTTAGACCCAGGCCCACCGATGTAATTTTTGAGTATGCTTTTTGTCGCAAGCAAAGAAATGAGGGCCAAGGCCAAATGAGGAAAAATTCTATTCGTTATGCCAAGAAATGAGAAGTAGGCCAGAACGAGACAGAATCGTCGCTTGAGAGGCTTATTGTTTATCCGTTTCTGCTCTCTCTTCTCTCATTCTATCCTTTCAACACAAAGCTTTAATGAATAATGAAATTTCTCCGTTTCATTTATTTTTGCAATTATGAGCAAAAAAAAACAAAAAAAAAATGGAAAATTTTCATAAAATTCATTTCAAAATCATAGGATCGAAATGATCTTAGCTTGGCTGAGCGCCAATCAAAATTCTGTCTCATTCTGGCCTACTTCTCATTTCTTGGCATACCAAATAAAATTCTCCCAATGTTCAGTCTTGGTTCTCATTTTTTGACATAACGAATAGAATTTTTTCTCATTTGGCTTTGGTCCTCATTTCTTGACACAAGGAAACAAGATTCTCTCTCATTTAGCCTTATTCTTATGGCTTGGCACAACAGACAAAATTTTTGTCCCATTTACAATGCACTATTTCCAATAACAAATATATAACGATTGAATGAAATTTTTGAAACAACTTAAGACTGAAGCTAATAGAATCAATCATATCATTCAATATTCTTTCAATTATTTAAAATAGATTAACGAAATATCAACTTTGAACACCCTAATAACTATAATGTACAAAAGGAAAAATTAAAATGATTGTATAAAAAGAAATTTAACACATTTATTTTATTAAATGATAGCTTTGGATTAGGATAATTAAAAAGCACTGAAAGAGAAATAAAAGTTAAATATCGAAAAAGTGAGTTAAAATGAAATGTCGGAAAAAAGAAAAGCTGAGTGGTGAATATGATTGATACATGTATATGTTAATGCAATATATCAAGCAATTAATATCGTTATTGATCGGACTAACTTATACTATTTAATTAATTCCTTTATAAATTCACTTTTTTTCTCATTCATTTTATTAGTGATTTTTAAAAAACCACAGTAATAATTCATTTTTATAAAATAAAAAAGTGAAGAATGTTTGCTAAGAAAGCATAAAAATTTAAATAAAAAATATGATTGCTAAATGTTATAAGGTGTCATTTTTCATGCAGCTACAGGTAAAAAAATGCATGCATAAGCAAAGACACATGAGCAGGCTGCATGTAATGCAGTTAACATGCAACTCAATTTTGATATTAGCATTGCTGATAATTATTTATAATGATTTATCACAACAATCGATGCTATCAATTAAAGTTTATTTAAAATAAAAAAAAAGCTTACTTACTTGTTTACGAGGACGTCGACGTGACCTTGGTGAGCTTCCTTTCGCAAGTACACGTTCGCTACGTGAAATAAGCGGTGAATGACCATTTATTCCATTATCATACTGCAAAAACGAAAAAAAATTTTTAAAAAGATTTTTTGGGAACCAAAAGAGCAAATAAACAAGGATATATATGTATACATGTATGTATAATCGAAATTAGCCTTAAGCCTACGTTAAACCAAGTTTACACTTTTTTTTCTTCATCCTTCTTTTCAGTTTAAAAATCCATCCTTTACTTATTTTATTTTATTCACTCAACCAGTAAGAATGCCTATGCATGCTTTCTCTCTCTCTCTCTCTCTCTCTCTCTCTCTCTCTCTCTCTCTCTCTCTCTCTTTAATTCCATATCATGAAAAATTGTCATTTTTCATGTCTAACTGAATGTCGAAAAGTGCATTACCGTTTTATATTTCTAATTAATTTTCAAACCTGTTAGACTTGTCATTCTCTCTCCTCTCCTCTCCCCTCTCTCACTTCTTTCTCTCTCTTCATCAATTCTTCGATAATTTTTCTTCTTTCAATATAGTTTTTGTTTTTGTTTTTTCTGTCTTTTTTTAATTGCAGCAAAAATAAAAGAAAAGAAATTTTGTATTATCGAAGATTTAAAAAAAAAAATTAAGAAAAATGAACTTTAATAGTCATCGATGATAATTTTCAAAAAAAAATCTGCTCCTGTTGAAAAGAAGAAGACCAGTTCATAAGATAATTAATTACTTGCAAGATTAATTAACTAATTCATTAACTAACAAACTTTCATCAAAAAAATTGTCACTTTTTAGTCATAAAAATATTAAGAAAATTTTGAGTAATGCTAAATTCTTCTTGTTATTTTTTCGCACATATAAAATATTCACTTTTCAATTTTTCTTATCTAAAAAATGATCATATTTTATTTTTACATAAACAATAACAATTCATCAACTTTGTTTACAAAAAAAAAAAAAAACAGTGGATGAAATTAGAATTTTGAAAATATTTCAGAACAGGTAAAATTTCCAATTTATAATTCTACAAATTCCAGTTTCCAGTCAAAAAAAGATTACTGATGTTTTTTTTTTTCTTCTGGTTTTTTGTTTTATTGGTTTGAATATGATTGCAAAAATAAATGTCTCATAAAATAATTCGACTAAAAATTTTACCACATAAACTTATAAAATGACAATTGAATTTTTTCATTGAATTAATTTACTTTACAGAACTAATAAATTCTAATTTATATGACAGATTTTTGCAGAAAATTTAATTTTTTCCTCATTTTCAATGCCCTATTTTCAATGGTTTTGTTATTTCTTCATTTGTTTGAATTTAATTAAAAATGAGTGTAAACATGCAGCGTAACATTCATCAATTGTAAATTTACACGTTAATTATGTATACACATCACGTAATCAATAATACAATATATTTTGATGAGATAGGAAGAAAAAAATAAGGGAAAAGAAATTCTAATTCATGAAAATGATGATTATTGATATCGTAAAAATTTGCTTTTTCCTTTCTCTCATTCATCTATTATTTATTAGGAAAGAAGGAGAGAAAGAGAGAAAAGTCGAGAATTAGCTAAAAGTGACTAAAGAATATCAATAATTCGTTGGAAAAACATGACTCATAATTCAGAAAAATTTGCTAAGCTAAAGTATATTATGAATGAGTCGAGCAAAATTATTGAAATTTTTCACTTTTAAATGAAACATTTCTCCTTCATTTCATAGGTATGTATGGCTCATTTTACCATCATTAAGGCTCATTTAGCATTAGGTAGGAATTATCAGGCCTAACGATGATGCAAACGACGAAATCAATGAATAAATGTTGAATTTTTTCCTTTCTCTTTTTTTAACGCTTAAAAGATTGCAATTTTTCAATGAAAAAAAAAAGCGTTTGATAGCAAAAAATTTAGTCAATTGAGAATTAATAAATTGAAAAATTTAATAAATCGAAAATTTGATCATTGTTTTAAGCTTACAAAAATTAATTGCTTCTTAAAAATCGTAAATGTGATATTACACACCTCTTCGATGGGTATTGGTTTTGCAATGCCTAATCGGACTAGGCCATCAGGAGCTGATTTCAAGACTGCTACAGCATATTCCAATGTGCTATTCGATAGATCCTCATCATTCACAAACATTAACCTATCACCTGGAATTATTCGTCCATCTGCTTGTGCTACACCACCCGGTACCAATGATCGTACCACAATTACAGATTGTCCCGGATGCAATGGATCCTATAAACAAATATTACTGTTTATAGGCTGAAAGAATTTTAACACTATTTATTTAAAAGTATTTTAAACTATTTTGTTGGAAAAATTTTTGAATTAATTTTACAAATTGATCACTTCTTATACTCATAAAATTAGCACAAAATTCATTTAGGCCTTTCAATTACCTGATAATCAACAATTGAAAATCCTAGGCCACGACTATCTTTCTCTAATAGCACTATCATTGGCACACAACGCCAGATAGCTAATCCATTGAATAGTTGCAATGATCGAGATCGTAAACGTCGTGACACCTAAAATGAAAGAGAATTTTTCCAAAACATTTATTTGATTTCAGATATGAAGTCGAAATAAATTCCAAAATCTAAACGATGAGTTAATTAAATAAGTTTGGTGAAAATTATGAATGAATTTGGTCTTTCTTCTGCTACATCTCATTTGTTTTAATGCTTAATTTGTACCTACTAAAATTGGTATGATGTTTTTACAATTTTGAAAATTACACTACAACTATAAATTTTTTAATTATAAAATTATATAAAAAATAGTACCTGTTCCAATACAGCTGTTGTTGAATCCAAAGTTTTCGCTATACAAGTTTCGGATTTAGCCTGAAATTACAGTTGATAAATTGACTTGCAGTTTAATGAATAATGATAATTTGAAGTTTTATGTGTCACTTTTTATTTCACAAATTGAGTTATAAATTTTACTGTATCGGATGGTTTTTTTTTTTGTTACTGTCAAAAATATATTGATGAATACAAATGACTTTTAGATTTTAACGAAGTTTTTGAATTTATAAAATTGTTACAAATGGAATTGAATATAACTTCAAAGATTGTAAAAGTGCAAATTAAATTCATTTTTTGAAAAAGCAAAAATTTTAAACTAATAAAACAATTTCATGAAAAGGTAAGAAAAGACGGGAATATATATGCAACAAAAAAGTTAACCGACTAATTTAATTAAATCGACTGGACTTCGTTCGTAATCAAAATTTATTGAGAAAATCGATCAATTGATAAATTATAATTTATAAAATTATGATAATTAAGTGAAGTAACCTTAATAAGGCGATCATCTGTGGCAGCCAATAAAGGATATGCAATTGGAAGGCCTTCCTCAGGCTTTGGCATGAAAACATTCACCGTTTGAATTTTCCTTGCTACTGTAAGCCTAACTCGTTGTGAGAATGATGCAGCCTTAATTAGCGCTTGCCTTACGGTTACATGTGATTCACCGTATAGTACCATGTTATTAGCCTGTTAATAATTTGTTCTCATACATAAATAATATCAAGAATTATACCTGAGAACTGTAAAAAATGAAGGAAATATTGATTAGTATGAAATGAAATGTAATATTGTCATCTTTTTAGAAAGTTGATCAATTTTTGATAAAAAATTGCCATTTCGTTAATAAAAAAAAAATCCAACCTGTAATAATTCGTCACCTGAACGAAGAGCATTCGAGAAAGCAGCTGGTCCACCAGGCCTAAGTGAATCAATGTAATGATGTGGACAAAGTTGAGCACCATTTAAAATGTCCACTGTACCTTCTAGCGAAATACCTAAACCACCATCATCACATTTGTCCGGAATTAAATCCACGCTGATCACTTCAAATTCCGAACCCAAACGATGTTTCCAGCTGGCTACTACATCACGTAACGTACTCGGAACGTCTATCTCTTGAGTTGCCGCTTCCTAAGCAAATAAAAAAGTATTAATCAATTATTTTATTTCTGGAACTAAAAATAAGATAACTTAAATTTTAGCTTACTTTTACGATATGACAAAATTTATCATGCTTAAAAGGTTAGACTTAAGACTACTAGACTTGAACAATACAATATGCCAGTTTAGATTATTTTAGTTAGACCTATAACATTATATTTATGTGAATTGATAGAAATACCTCTTTTTTTTTTGCAAATTTACATTTTCCTTTTATTACATCATTTTCTTTTAACTCTTGGATCTCTCTCTCTCTTTCGAATGCTAATTATTCAGGTAATTGATTCTAATTTGCTTAAATGACCAATAAAACTGGTCTAATTAATTTGTTCCATCATCAAAAATGATTAACCAATAGATACAGTAATGATAATAAATAATATTGATTAGCTAATTAATGAAAGATTGAAGGATTACCTGTTTTTGCAGCATTGTAAGACATTCAGCTTGCGGTGAACCAGCCAAAAAACGAATTAATTTAATTTTAACTCTTGTCCCGCTATTTACCAATATCCGTATTGATTCGCTATGATTTAAACCCTCTAATGATTTATCATTTACCTGTAAAGAATGCATGAAAATCATTATCGATGAAGTTAATCAAAATGATATTTTCTTTTAGTAATTACAGATGTCACTTTCCTCATTTTATTATTTAAATACTATAAAATTGGCATAACAGGTGAACTATTATCACCACGAAATTATCACACATTTCTACCATTCAATGCAATCATTCAACCTTTGATCTTTGACCACAATTAAAGTTCATCGATCAAGGACTAAATGTTTTTTAACTTTTAACGATTGTAATTAGTCAAATCCTAAATTTTTAGGCATTCATTTGCAAATTTTATTCTTTCTTCAAAAGCAAAATATAACTTAAATCAAAGGATTGAACAACATTCTATTTGAGAATTTTTTAAAGAATGAATTTTTCATTATTATAAGAAAAATTCATTCAAATACTTATTTATGCAAACTATTCTTATCTCTATTGAAGCACATATAATTAAACAAATAATAATTTTTGAATA